AAGATCGTTTAGGTGGGGAATAGGTATCATTGTCTTCACTAATCGCCAGCCATCAAAAGGATGACCTAGCAATTAGTGTATCCCAGCAACAAATGGGAAAGAAAAAATTCCCMAAGAAAGGGAACAAAAGYGGAAAAATCTTAACCCACAACAGATGTCCATCAGCGATGGCCATCACGGTCCATAACTGGGAGCAGTGCTTTTTAATGTCTCCATCCATGACACAGTGCAGTTGAGGGCACGCTCAGCATGTTGGCAGAGCCTGAGCTGAGCAGTGCAGGTGACACACCTGGGAGACAGGATACAATTTAGAGGGCCTTGGCTAAGTTCCAAGAGTGGGCCCATGGGAACCTCAGCAGGATCAAGGCGGCCAAATACAAAGTTGTGCACATGGGTTGGGGCAATATCAGTATGAATCCAGAAGTGAACTTGTCCCTCTCTCCTTCTTCCATCCCAAGTCCTGCTATCAAGCCCTTCATTCTCAGCCTGTATTGAGACTAGGGGTTTTCCCAACTCATTGGCAGGACCTCATGGGATTCCCATGGACACACTTTTCAAGCTTGTCTAGGTCCTCTAGGATGTCCCAATGCTTTGTGTGTGTTACCTATCCTGCTCAGCTTCCTGTCACCTGCCAATGGGCTGAGGGYGTGTTCGATGTCATTGTGTCCTTGATAAGGTTTCAAAGAGCACTGGTCCAAGGCATGCCCTGACGGACACCACCTCTCACTGGATGTAGAGGCATTGACTACAACTCTGGCTGCATCTGTTGGTTCAACATTGTCTCTTGTGACACCTGTCCAAAATTGCTCGTCCATCTCTTCAGGTTCTCTCCAAGGCTGGACTTGATAATCTTGGTGTTTTTTTCCAATCTTAACAATTCTCTGATTCCCTCAATGCCTCTTTAATCTGTTGTTTCGTTTCCACCAAGCTGTTCCTAGGGCTTCAAGGGCTGATGATAAACCAGGTTTTGGAGAAGAAGATGGTTGTTTAAATTCCTCCACTGAAATGTTCTCGTAGGAGATTTTTGCTCTGTCCTTCGCTGTTCCACCCTTGACCCACATTAAAGTAATTGAGGGCAGAGGCCTGAGCTGCTGTGGTATTGCAAATGCTGTTGGCTGGTGGCCAGGGCAACAGAAAGCAGAGGAAACAGGCTCATTTTGTCCRAATAAAGATCCTTCCAGGRGTTCAAATTTCATGGATGAGGCTGGTGGAGAGGAGAGAAGCAAAGTCTGTCGGCCCATACTCTGCATTGTCAGTTTGCGTCAACTCTGCAGTAATTTTTGGGTTATATTGAATCACAAAAATCCCACTCCCTGCCTCCAAGCCCCCTGCCTATGGACTCCAGGCTGCTTTGGATTCTGGAATTTTACTCCAAGCAGTCAGATGATTTTCACTGTAACTTGAACAATAATTTGGGTTGCAGCAAAAACTGGAGCCTTTTGGGGCATAAAACACTGTTGAGTTTGAGGAAGGTGCTCAGGGGATGATTGATGCCTTCTCCTCTTCTTTGAGATCAGGAACATTGTTCTCCTGGTGTCTGTGTTAATCCAAACCCACAAAATCCCAGAGATCATTTACAGATCAAAGGACCTGAGCTTGATGTCAGAACTGAGCTGAGGCACATTGGTGCTTCTCCATCTGTGTGACTTTCCCATGTTTCTGGGTAAGGATGGAAGTCACAGAGAAAGGGATTTGATTCCTGGCAGCCTTTGTCCTCAGTGACACCCCAGGTGCCTTTTAACACATGCATTTTAATTAGGGGTTGCAAAGAGCAGGGATGACATTATATAGCTGGGCATGTGCAGGCACAGCCTGGGGTTGTCTTTCCCTGTCCTTGGCTCTCTCCAAAGCCCTGACAGGACAGGAGTGACAAGGGACAGAATGAGGGGAAATGGCCTCAAGTTCTGYCAGGGGAGCTYTAGGGTAGATATTGGGAAGATTTCTTTGGGGAAAGGATGGTCAGGCACTGGAAGGGGCTGTCCAGGCCAGTGATGGAGTCACCATTCCTGGAAGTGTTAAAAAAACACGTGGATGTGGCATATGGGGACATGGTTAATGGTGAACAACCTACCACCACTGGGTTGATGGCTGGACTCAATGATCTTTGGGGGCTTCTCCAGCTTTTAACAATTCTGTGATTCTGTGGTTGCACTCTTAGTTCCTGGAGCTACTAGAACAGGCAACTGAGTGGATCAGTTTTTTTCTATCTTCTTCCAAACTTTTTTTTTCCCTCCCAGCTCTGCAGAAAATGTCCAGAATTATGGTGACTTCTAGGTGTTGCCTGAGCTGTCTCCACCATTTATTTATTGCAGGTTGGAATGTTTTGCCTGCCTGTRTCACAGCCAGTGTCTCTCAGTGGGAGCAACTCATAAATCCCAGGATCTGCCTGGGTGTGACTGACCTGCTGTGCTACTGAGCAGATAATTGGGAGTCTGCTCAGGGTTTATGATAGGTCAATAAAAAGTTGGGATTAATGGATTACCAATCTAATGTTGTGTGAAGTCTTTATAAAGCTCTGACTGCTGGGCAGTCTGAGAGATCAGGAGAAAGGGGAGAATCTGAGAGACACAAAAAAGGTGGAGAAAGGCCAAAGGCAGAGGAAATTAAATCTGYCCAGGTCTGGGAAAGCTTGGCTTTGCAGGCACCATGAAAAGCTTTCTTGTCTGGACAGTCCTGGCAGGCCTTGTCCTGGTGCACATCTCCCAGGCAGTCTATRTTCAGGTGAGTTTGTTTTCTTTCATTTGTTGGTATTAAAAGTTCAACAGAAGGCTGATATGTTTTAAACTGCTGRCTGCAACAGGAATCTTAAACTAAATTAACAGGCCTGAATTTTTCTTTGCTCTGCCTTGATTTCCACCTGCATCTCCCTATGCTCTGTGTTTTCCTTCTGTGAAACAAATGCTGGTATCACTAAACGCTGCTGCTGTTTATTTGCCTTCTCCAGCCATACCCCTGCTCTGAAATCCCTTAGGGACTGAGGTTTTTCATGCCTGGAGTTTTCTCCTGGACCTAATGCCACATATTGTGAAAGTGCTGACTTTAGAGAGTTATGCAAACAAGGTTTGACAAAGGAGAAATTGTCTCATGTCACCTGGTTTTAGGCAGGAAGATCTTTATGGAAATTATCTGTTAGTTTATGGGATGATGCCTGCACATGTCAGCTGTAAAAAAGGGCAAAGAAGASCTTAGCTGGATCAAATTAAATATTAACAGGCAGAGAAGTGATTAGAGAAGGCTCTATGAAATTTTCCAAGTACAGAGCACCTATGGCTGATATTCCATGCAATATGGAAGGGGTTAAGAAGGCACTCAGGGCCATGGTCTGTCCTTGGAACAGCTTTGGATTTCTCTGTGCTCATCCTGAGAACCAGCGTGAGAGATTTCAGTCTGATTGCAATGTAAACAACTTCCTCAGGGAGCCAGGAAAACTAATACTTGTTTAATAATTATAGACTCTCTCCRTGTGTGTGCAGCAGGTTTCCAGGGATAAGGTATCTTTGTGTCCTGGACCATCTTTTTGTCCTTTGGATGACAGAGATATCCAGAGGTAGCAGTTTTAAGCTATTCTCTCAAATAATCTTCAACATTTACAGTCTGCAGAGGAGCAAACAGCTTCCTACCCACTGAAAAACATCCCAGTTTTTCACTTGGAGCCATAAAAAAAATTAGTAAATAAGAATGCCTGCTYCTAAGTTGGGTAGAAGAGTAGGAAGTGCAGCTCTGGAGCTTGAGCTGGAATTCCTCTCTCATTAATTATTAAATCYGAGTTTTCCCCACTGTACTTGCAGTGAACTCTGAGTGTGTTACACTCCTTTCACCTGAGGTCCTTGAGRTCTGACTGATTCTTTGATTCTTCACTGCAGAAAGTTGGCTTCCACTCTTCTTTGAAATTTTTCCTGAGACTTCCCTTCCTGTTCCATATGTCAGATTTAGCTCTCTCTAATACATCTTTCTTACCTGAGGTGGTGGAGTTCTGTTTCTATTTTGCTTTTTTTTTTGTTTTGTTTTGTTTGTTTTTGGTTTTTTTTTGGTTTTTTTTTTTTTTTTTTTTTTTTTTTTTTTTTTTTTTTTTTTCTTTTCTTTTTTTTTTCCTCAGGACATGCAGATTGCAGTTTGTTCCCAGTTCCTGGTTTCTCTGAAATTGTGCCTGTGGAAATCAACTCTTTTTTAGTTCTATGGTTTTTGCTTCTCAGGTCTATGACCAACAGCTGAATCTAGAGCTGCTTTTATACAGGAAAAGTGAACTTTTCATAGGCAGCCTAGGGTGATCATAGAATCAGAAATTTTTTTAGGTTGGAAAAGCCCTTTAAGTTCATTAAATCCAACTGTTCCTCCAGCACTGAGAGATCAATCCACCRTGTCCCCAAGTGCCACATCCACGTGYTTTTTTGAACACTTCCAGGAATGGTGACTCCACCACTGCTGTGGGCAGCTGCTGCCAGTGCCTGATCAACATTTATAGGATCATTAAGGCCAGAAAAGATCTCCAAGATCATTTGACTCAAGTGATAAACTAACCTGTTAGATCATAAAATGATTGCAAGAGAAAAGAATTTGACTTAGTTAAGTAAATGCATGTCCAAAGTCTATCTGATTTGGTTTTTTTAAACCTTTAACACTAAAATGTTGTGATTCTGTTAAAAAAACCTCTAAAACCTGGGTCAGAATCAAATCGCCTCTCCACTTATCTAGCACTGTGCCCCACTGGGCTCATGTTGTGTGAAACAAATGCTGGTATTTGGTCTTGTGTTGTATCAATCACTGAATTTTATTTCTTCAGAAGGAGCTATTTCTTGATCYCAGAATCCCAGGATGGTTTGCACTGGAATGGATGTTAAAGCTCATCTCATTTCAAGTCCTGCCATGGGGTTGGAACCTCCCACATCACCTTACTGACCATGTGTTGGCCATGAAACCCAGTTAAAAYAGCAGATATAAATCAGTTTGAAAATGCTTGCTTATCTTCTAGGCCAAATTCTGATTATCTGCAGACCAGCACTGACTTCGTGCACTTGGTTGAACAGCTGCAACACCTGCAACTTAAATTTATGATGTCAAAAAAGGAAAATTCCCTTGAAACTGAGGGGATGACCCTTAACAGATGCACAGGGACAAGCAACTAAAACGTGGACTAATATTTTTCAGAGTCCTGACCCAGCTTCCTCAAGTTTCTGGTGTGAGCTTTGAGTCAGAAATGTCATATATTTAYACTTCCAAAAACTTGTTTTTCACTAATTGTGTGGGGAGGTTTTAAATTTGCAACAGGGTGGGATTGTTGGGCTGTCTGTGCAGGGCAAGAAACTGGAGTGGATGTTCTRTGTGGGTCTCTTCCAACTCAGGAGTTCCTGTGATTCTAAATTAATGGAAACCTTCCACAATCTCTTGGGGCAAAGCCCTYAGCAATGTGTGGTGTGGAAGAAGAGCTCCCTTTGTGTGGTCACACCYTACCAGGTCAGAGCCAACACTTCCACTGCTGTTTTAGGAGAAAGAATGAACCAAATAAATTACCATTTACCCCATTCAACTAATGATTTTGTAAATCTCTACCACATATCCCTAGGAGTGTTGGATGGAGCTTGGAGCCACCTGGTCTAGTGGAARGTGTACCTGCCTGTGGCAGGGGGTGGAATGAGATGAGCTTTAAAGTCCCTTCCAACCCAATCCATTCCAGGTCTCTGGAATATATGATACTGCCCAATCATCTCTTTTCTAGGCTGAAGAACCCAGCCTAGAAGGCTGGAYCTTCCCATCCCAGATTGTATGGGTCTCTCTCATGGGGATGAGCAAGGCCCAATTTCTCCTTTTGTCCACTGCCYTCATTCAGCACAGGTTTTACCTGGGCTTTCTTTCAACACTATCTTTCCTCTCTGTTATATTTTTTGGGAGGGCTCCTGKTTGAAGTGAAATGGATTTCCCAAAAGCCTGACTTCCTGATTTTTTTTTTTCTGCTTCTGCACAGGATGGAGACTTKAAATTCCCCCTGGAGTCTGTGAAGAAGCTGAAAGAGCTCATGGATGGGAACAGACACATCAACCCTCGTATGAAGGTTCCCATGGCCAGTTATTCCCCATGCCAAGAGAAACACCTCCCTGAGGAATTCTGGCCTGTGTGCAAGAGAGAAGACGCACYCATGATTTTTAGGAGGCTGAGTATGTTGTTCATATTTTGTAGTTTTCATTTTTACCACACTTTTCAACATTAGACATTACAATAGCAGGAGACAAAGACATGAAATTACTGCTGTGTCATTTTTAGGGCATCTTGGGAGGGTTTGTGCTGCTTTTGTGCTGCCCTTTCTCCTGCACAGGTTGGGCTGTATGTGAGGCTCTTAAGGAAAATTCCTGCAGGCTGAGCTGAGTGCATCCCACTCCCGTGACCATGGAAAAGTTCATCCAAGTAGAATAATAGAATCACTGAATGGTTGGGTTGGAGGGAACTTAAAGCTCATCCCRTTCCCCTCCCTGCCATGGGCAGGGACACCTTTCATTATCCCAGTTGCTCCAAGTCCTGTCCAACCTGGCCTTGGACCCTTCCAGGGGTGGGGCAGCCACAGCTTCTCTGGGCGACCAGTGTCAGGGCCTCACCATGCTCACAGGGAGGAATTTCCTCCCAAATCTCATCTAAATCTACCTTTCTTCAGCTTAAGCCATTCCCCCTTGTCCAAAGTCYCTCTGTCATGAGCTGCTGCTGCAGTGTTTGCTTTCTTATGTTACTATATTGTACTTATCTACTGTWCAGTACAAGGGAGACTTTAAGAAGAAATTCTGCCATGTTCTGTTGTTCTCTTGCTTCCACATGTTCCCATTGCTTCCCAAGGAAGTCAGGTGACTTCATTCCTTTGATTTCATTCCTTAAGCCAGATGTTAGCATGAGCTAATTTTGCTTAGAGCAGTAGTACTTACAAGGGTCTTTAAAATGATAAAATAGATACGGTAAGGAGTCTCCAAATGCTTGGACATGCAGATCTGCCCTCCTGGCATCCGACTGAATCCCTCCTTTCTCTTGGACAGGCCTGGCTGCTGAGGATGACCTGTGTGAGATCTGTGCCAACGCTGCCTGTGCTGGCTGCTTCTGAGTGAAGGTGGAAAAACCCACAGAAGATGTGTCTGGCTGGGATGTTTGTGCATTCCTATGGCGAGATAATGTACTTTTATCAATCAATATTCCTGGGCTTCATCTCCCACTCCAGCCAAACTGGAGCTGCCAGCTCATGGACATCCCTGCAGTGTTGCAGCACCTGGATCAGGTGTGACCTGCAGAGCAGTTCTGCCAACAAGGAGGCTTTGACTCCTCTCAGGGATTTCAATGCTGTAGGAGTTGGTGACACTGGAATGGAAATGCCCTGGGATTTCATTTGCTGCTACTTTGCTTGGCTTYGAACAAGCTGGGTGAAACTCAGCATCTCCTGCAATCTTTTGAATAGCCAATATTTAATATCTAATATTTAGTGTCCAATAAGTCATATCTAATCATAAATATCTGCCTGTGATTTGTCCTCCCCTACACACAACATCATTGGATTATCCCCTTTCCTAGCCACTCSTTCCCTTCCACTTGTCTGCAGGTGACACCTCTGAGTTTGTAGCAGAACTGCAACAAGTAACTCGAAATAAATTCCTGGTGTTTAGGAACACTTTGACAGCCAGAAATCAGACTGTTCCTTGTACTGATCATTGTTGATTTAGGGAATGGGTGTAGAGGAGCACAGGAACACTTCTTCCCTGATTGRATATAAAGGTTCTTTAAACTCTTTTTAGGAGAAAGGAATTCCAAACTGCAGTGCTGGAATCACATTGAAAGCATTGCCTGTTGTTTTATTGGCGGCAAGATTGTGAAGAAATGATCTGCCCATGTGTATATGCTGTATGGAAAATAAAAAACAGTAATAATTTGGATTTTTTTATTTGGTTGGTTTGATTTGGTTTGTTTGTTTGCTGTTGCTGTAGGTATTGTTTTAGGATATTCTTCTTGCCTACTTGCTTTTTTCCCCCATGTAAGGTGTTTCATGTTTGTGGCTTCCGTGAATAAAATATATCTTTTAATAATGTCCTGAACTTAAACCAATTTGTGGACACAGAATGACAGAACCATTTGAGCTGGAAAAGCCCCRCAMAATCATTGAGTCCARCCTGTGCCTGATCCCMCSCTGTCACCCAGCCCAGAGCACCCTGAACCAGGGATGGGGACTTCATCATCTCCCTGGGCAGCCCCTTCCTATCCCTGACCACCCTTTCCATGAAGAA